GGGTGGCGCGGGGAGAGACAGACACCAGCATTAACAAATAGCAGCATCAGGTTTTCTGAACTCCACCCCAGGAGAGGGAGCCTGTTGCCAGTAATACCGAGGAATCTGCAGAGCCCCACCAAAGAAATACAGGGTGAAAAAGTATTTTCAGAAGCCACACACAGAAATCCCTCCATACTAAGCTTGTCATATGGAAAATAAGTATTTTTAAGGAGTCGTTGGTTTGGGTTTTTTTTAATAGATACATGCCCCTGGGCACGGCACACCAATCCTTGTTCCTAACACATGTAGACAGCCAGGTATCAAATGCAACAACATGTTCACGGATTGGCTCCTCCCCAAAGTCCAGAAGCCAAAAAAGTCCATGGGTTTGTCACTAACCTTCAAATACTGGTGAGGAGAGGGGTGGGGAGAAGGTTTTGATGAAGGACTCTGAACATGAAGTTGTATGTCTGCAAGCACCAATTCAAGGAGAACACAGCGAGCACCTTGTGTCAGTGAGCCCAGCCAATTCCCCTGCCTTTAATTAATTTTTAAAAGTCTTTTGTCTTAAGATCGACAAAAAAGCACTTAGCTTAAATGGTCCAACTTGTCTCTTTCTCAAATAGCTTTTTCCCTAATTTAAGGATTTAAAAACACATACGCTCATTCTCCTTTTCCTGCATTAACATGGAAGCTGGCAGACCCCAGCTCAAGTGAACCAACCATCAGATTTCCTTTTTAATAGCTCTTTTAGGAAGAATTTTAACAATTAAGCTGTACCTCCAGCAGGCCGGAGAGTCAAGTCCAAGTCAGTCCATTTTATTTTAAATCTGAGGAGAGATGAGAAGTGTGGATTAGCCACTACTGAGCTCCTTATGCCTTTTTTCCAGCAGTCTTTTGAGCTCCCTAACACTCAACAGATGCATCCGCCCAACCTCATCCCGCTTTCTAGGAGGGATTCTGGAGTAGAACTGGTAATTACTCATTACCTAAAGATTTCTTAGATGTAATTCAATCAGTACCAATTCTGTAAATTCCTCCCACTGAGCATATATATGAGGAATCGAAGGATTAATTAGAAGACACACTACAGGCTGTGGATTCCTTGTTATGCAGATGATGCTCACGGCTGCTTTGGGCCAATACACACCTCATGGGACAGCAGAAGTCACCTGGTGACTACAGAGACAAACTTAACTCACTTCTGACAATAAATGCGTTCATATTTGAGAAAAATGCTCTTTTATTACTCCAGCAGATCATATCTTTGCAATTTTTTCCCTCAGTGATCCACGACTGTATGGGTTCAGTGACCTTAAGGCACATAACGAAGCCAGCCCTGTTTTCCCACGAGTGAGGTGGGGCCAGAAGGTAGAAGAGACAACAGTTTGACGAGTATTACAGGTAATTAAAAGCGAGCTTTGGGAACACCTTTTCAACAGGTTTAATCATTATGCATTTAAATATTGCGTATGTCCAGACAGATACAACTTAATACGCTGTAAAGCCCTAAACAAATAAAAAGAAACATACTTAATGAACTTTTCCAAAGTACTTGCAAAGTTGTTTTTTTTCTTTTTCTCCTACACACTTCGGCCAGGACATATTTAGCCTAAGGGCTAAAACGGAGGACAGCCTGAACTGATTACATCATTTTCTTTCTATAGGATTGAACATCTGGGAGTACTGCTCTCAGTTAAGTGGCTGTTGCTCTGCTTTATCTCCACCTTCCCACATCATGCTTCAATGTGAGGATGATGACCACCACAAAAATGCCTGAGGAAGAGAGACAGCCACCGAGTGATGACCTGTTTGCTTCTATCCTGATCAGGACGTAAGCTATGTGACACAACACTAGATTTGAGGTTGACTGCTGGCACTTAAGAGAAATAGCTACTACCAAGCTTCAGCGCTAATGTTTCTTGGTAATTCAAGCACCACATGCACTGGCAAGACAGCATCCTTCCAAAAGCCTTGCTGGGGAAAGGTCTTCCTTGCCTTGACAGCTTAAATCTGCCTAAACATCAAAAAAAGTCAGAGTAAGCAGATTATAGTGAGTCGCCTTTTCCCTTGCCCATCAGTAAATAAACTATATATTTCATCATATCAGATGAAATGCAGCACTGAAAGTGGGAAGTAAAGTCTAGTGCAAGTTAAAAAAACCCCTACTCATTCACCACCAAGCAAACTCAACCCTGAGGCCCAAGCACGGCAACCCTGATGATGAAAAATAGCAATGACACTACCTCCAACTGAGCTGCAGGCATGGCCGAGAAACAAAAAGCATAAAGATGCAAAAATGTTTTGGTGTAAAAAGAGGAAGGAAGCCTGAGTCAGAGATAAGAAGAAATAAATAAAAATAAAGTTTAAAAACAACTGCTACACACAGAATAGCTTTACTTTCTCCCATCTCTGGAGATGTCATAAAATAGGTGACAATTTTTAAAGCGACGCATTTCTCTCTCCTTAAGTTAGTAAGCAGCTCTTCTTCCAATGCAAGGCTTTAACGAAGGACACTACACGCCTTTTTAACTACATGCTTGCCTTTTCAGGAAGCATTTTTACAGGACCCAGCAGGGAGGCATGTGGCTTGCTGGCTACCAAGGACCGCTACCAGCACAAATGCAGGTATGAGTTCAAAGACTGACTACTGATTTCTATGATCAACACCTACCAGAGAGGATATGTTCATATTGCTTCACATGAGCAATATAAATCCATACATCCACCACACATATCCCAAACACCTTTTAAGCATTTCTTTTTTGTCTTTTTTTTCCTTTAAGTAACCTGACTCTGGTCACTGATATATCAGAAAAAATGTGCTACAGAAGCGTTAGAAAGCCACTCTGACCTCCATTTGCTTCAAAACACTTTAAAACACCGCGTTCAGCAACAGCTTGAGGATAAGTTTTTTTAAAATTATTCGAAATATATAGCCCATTCTCTTCAGAGCGAAGCTATTTGGTCTTAACTACAATGTCACTACCTGCTCATCTGAAAGGAAGCATCAGCTATTGCGCTGAATCACTGTTTGCTATAAGCATCGAACCATCTACTTAGCATTTAGTATCACAATACACTGAACAACCCATGCCACTCCAGAATTGCTGCTTATTACTCTTTCAGCACTTTCACCCCCCAAAACAAGTGACCTAGTTTATAGCAAACTCACTGTGCAATCTGTAATGCAGATCTCTCCAGAGATGCTGTGAATGTAACAAATCCTGTTGCTTATTATTTATATCATGCTTATTATTTCTTTCAGCTCCAAGCTGGGTTTTTTTAACTACTTTTCTTAAACTGAAATGTCTTTGTGAAGAAAACACAAAATCGAGGACATTGCTAAGTTGTGAACAACTATAGCAGAGACCTTTCAGCACATCTGCTTTATGATCCAGAAATGAAGCACTTTTTATTAAAGATGCAAAAATGCTCATCATTAAAACAAACCTGTTCTGGCCATCACTGCTCCACCCTGTCTTCTGAGGGTTTTCAACCAGCAAATGTGTATATTCCTGTTTGATATGACACATGATTTTGAACAGGCCAGTAGCAAAAAACAAAACAAAACAAAAAAACCAACCCACAGTGGACACCCCCCCATCTATCATCTTTCCTATTGAGAAATAACCTGAAATTTTATTATTACATATATTATGTATTACATACATATAATAATAATATTTATTACTATTACAT